GCATTACAAATACTACTATTGCTTGTCTCCGAAAAGCTTTGAAATTGACTAGAAAAGCATCATTTATTCATAGTTTCCACCTGGATAAATTATAGTATATTTCTACAACAATATTACTTTAATTTCTCTTGTTAATAACCTAACCCAAAAGTTTCCCTGTGCTGCAACCCTCAGGTTTCTAGATGTCCATATATACCTTTTTTTTTTTAAAATATAGAAGCCATCCATTTCTATAAAACTCAAATAAATTCAACAAATAATAAGTGCTTAGTATATATGATTATACAATGCATAGGGTAGTGGGGATACAAAAATGAAAAAATATTATTCCTGCCCTCAAGGAGCTTATGATCTACTAGTGAGCAAACAAAATGTACACAGACAAGTGTGACACAAGGTAGATTGTTGTAGGAATAAAGAGTGATTAAAAAAATTGGGGGGGGGGAAATCTAAGGAAGGAGAGAACACATAGGATCAGAGCTAACAAGATCATAGATTAAAGTTGGAAGATACTTCAGAGGTTATTTAGTCTTACTCCCTCATTTTACAGATAAAGAAACTGAGGCCCTGAGATATCAACAAAGTGTCTGAGCCAGGACATGGGCCAAGATCTTCCTGATTTCAAGTCTGGCCCCCTATACACTATATCTAGCATTTAGCACAGTGCTTAGCACATAGTAGGTGCATAATAGCTCCATGGAGAAGGTAGTACCTGAGCTAAGGCTTTAAGGAAGAGAAGCTATATGAAAGATGGAAATATGGAGGGTGCGCATTCTAAGCAAGGGGAAGGACTGTGCTAAAGCACAAACACAGGAAATGGCAGGTCAAATTCAAGGAACACCTAGCAATCCAGTTTGGCTAGAATACAGAATGTAGTAATAATAACAACAACAATAGCAACAACTAACATTCGTATAACAATGACTATATTCCAGGCACTGTGTTAAGCACTTTATAATTATCTCATTTGATCTTCACAATAACTCTGGGAGGTATATACTATTATTATCCCCATTTTATCAATGAAGAAACTGAGGTAAACAAAGGTTAAGTGACTCGCCCAAGGTCACATGGCTAGTAAGTATCTGAGGCCAGATCTGAACTCTGGTCTTCTTGACTACCTCTGAGTAATGTAAATGAAGCTGGAAAGGAAGACTGGAGGCAGACTGTAAAGGGCCTTAAACATCAGGCTAAAGGGTCTGAATTTTATCCTAGGGACAACTGAAAGCAACTTAAGCTTCTTCTGCAAGGTTATTACTAACATGGCCACATGCAATGCTCAATAAGACAATCTTGGCAGAAATGTGAAAAAGTGGTCACAGAGACCAAAAGGTGATGATAGCTGGAAGGCTATTACAAGATATTACGTAAGGAGGGCCTGAACTAAAGGAGTAGTAGCATGAAAAGAAAGTAGGAAATAGATGTGTGAGAGATGGTGTGGAGGGAGAACTGACAGGACTTGTTCACTGATTGCAGGTGAGCAGCAAAGTAAAGCAAAGAACCAAAGTCTACTCTAACAGTGAGCCTCGATAACCGAGGAGGTGTTGAAGATATTAAAAGAAATAGAGAAGGTGGGAGGGAGGGCAACCTAGGGGGTGAGAAATGATGGGTTCAATTTTGAACAAAGGATCACAGATTCAAAGTTGAGGCTGCCTAAGTTACTTAGCTACAAAGAACACTGAATCATTACAGATGACACAATGGGCGGCCACAGAAATTAAGTGATTTCCCAAAGGTTATACAGGAAATAAGTAGTAGAATCAAGAATCAAACCCATGTCCTCTAACACTAAATCCAGCATTCTTTCCACTCCATCATAGTTCCTATATCTAGTAGAGTGGACAGAGTAGAACATGTCCTTGACCTGTGCTCTTTAACATTTTTATCAGTGACCTAGATAATGGTCTATACGGCATGTTTAGCAACAATGAAGAAGACACAGAGCTAGGAGGGGGTAGTAGAATAAGAATGTAATGATTCCCAAAAGAGTCTGACAGGGTTGAATATTAGGTCAGATCTATTAAGATGAAATTTAATAGGAAAAATATAAAAGTCTTTGGGTTTAAAAAAATCAAGTTTACAAAGGTAAGGCTTTAATGCTATTATGTCAGTGCTGGTCTACATAAATATTTGTAGATCAGTTGGCAAGTAACAATCATAAAGTTGTGCTGTCTTACTAATATAATAATAATATTAACATCTATATAGCAATAATTTGAGGGCAAATCATAAAATAACCCTTTTGAGGTTGTGAATCATAAATATGGTTAACTCCACATTACAGATAAGGAAACTGAGGTTAACGTCAGTTAAGCATCTGAGGATGCAGGACTGGTAAGTGATAGAGCCAGATAATCTCTTACATCCTGTATTTCTGACGCAACACCAGTAATCGCCCTGTTAAATTGAGTTACCTCAAAGAAACTTACCAAAACAAGTTGATTTTTACAATCAGTTGGTCAAATTAGTTATTCAATGATTTAATAACTGGGATTTCAATCTGACCTGAATATGGTTAGAAGAATGGCATTATTTCCCTTCACGCACCCGGCAATCTAGCCATACTGGCCTATTCACTGTTTTGAACACACGATCCTATTTCTCCTGTCTCTGTGTCTTTATACTAGCTATCTCCTATGCCTGCAATACACTCTCTCCTCACTTGTGTCTCTAGGAATTTCTAGTTTCCTTTAACACTAAGCTTAAGCATGACCTTCTAAATGAAGGTTTTCCTGATCTCCAACAGCTAATAATGCCCTCTCTCCCAAAACTACCTTGTATACATTTTGTATATATTATGCACATAATGATGTACATGTTATATTCCATTGGAATATAAGCTTCTTGAAGGCAGAGACTGTTTCACTTCTGTTTCCCCAGAGATTAGCACAGTGCCTGGCACATAGTACAAGCTTAATAAATGCTTATTGACTGACTACTCCAATATGGCAAAAGATGACTTGTCAAGTGTTTTTTCTTCCTTTAATCACTATTTGTATGTGCAATCAAGTAAATTAATTTACTTTATAGGATTTTAAGCCTTAAATTGGAGGAATTTTTCAGGAAACTGCCATAATCAAAAGCAATTTGATTGACACATTTGTGTATGTATGTGTGTGTGTGTGTGTATACATATAATTTAAACTTCCAATGAACATACATACATAAATATATAAAAAAATTTTGTTTGATCATCACAACCCTGTGAAGGAGGTATGAGACATCATTTAGAGAAAAGAGTGATACCTAGCAAAATGAAACATTGCAGTTCAGTTCTATGAGGTACTGAAAATACTCTGAGTAAAACAAAGAGGAAGCTAAATTTTATGAAGTATATAACATTATGATGTGATGGAAAGGATATAAGTACAAAAATGAAAGGGGAGCTATAATGTTGGAAAGTACTAAAAATTTCTCACGTACTACAGGTACTACAATATTGAGCACACTACAACAATAGCAACCTTAATAAACCTCTCCTCACTGAAGAGTTTAATGTATCTTTGAAATTAATTAACAGTTTTCAACATTTATTTCCATAAACTTTTAAGTTTTAAGTTTTCTCCCCCTTCTTCCCCAAAGCAGCATGCAATCTGATATATTCTCTACATACACATTCCTATTACACATATTTTCACTTAGTCATGTTTTAAAGAAGAATTAGAACCAACAGGAAGAACCACAAGAAAGAAGAAACAAAAGAGAAGAAAAAAAGAGCAAAATAGTATGCTTCGATCTGCATTGAGACTCCATAGAAAGTTCTTTCTCTGGATGTGGATAGCATTTTCCATCATGAGACTTTTGGAGATGTCTTAGATCTTTGTATTGCTGAGAAGAGCTAAGTATATCAAAGTTAGTCGTCACACAATGTGGCTGTTACTGTTTACAATGTTCTCCTGGTTCTGCTCACTTCACTCAGCATCAGTCCATACAAGTCTTTCCAGGTTTTTCTGAGGTCTGCCTGTTCTTCATTTCTTATAGCACAATAGTATTCCATTACATTCACATACCACAACTTGTTCATCCATTCCCCAATTGATGGACATCCCCTAATTTCCAATTCTTTGTCACCACAGAAAGAGCTGCTATAAATATTTTTGTATATGTGGGTCCTTTTCCCATTTGTATCTCTTTGGGATACAGCCCTAGAAGTGCTATTGCTGGGTCAAAGGGTATGCACATTTTTAGAGCCCTTTGGGCATAGTTCCAAATTGTTCTCCAAAATGGCTGGATCAGTTCACAGTTCACAACTCCACCAACAATGCATTAGTGTTCCAAAGTTCAATGTATTTTTCTCATAGGACCATAGCTCCACAATTACACTGGAAGCTAATAACAAGGTGAAATTCATAGTACACAAATTGTACACAATTTAAAAAGCCAGCTTTGGCAGGATGCGGCTGCCAAAGTATTCAAGTGTATTCAAGAAAAATTAGTTAGCCTAATTTGTAAGTTCTTAAATGGTAAGTGTATATCTCCTGGTAACACTTTAAGTCAATTGTCACCATAACTCTCCCTTCCACATTATGTTCCCTTCTCTCTTAATTTTATTGGTATTTCCAGAAGGCACAAGAGCACATTCCCACACCACACCTAGATTTAGGGACTTTGCTATACACCTCCTCTTTAAAACTCCACACTGGTGAGCATAGGCCTTTAGAAGACGAAAAGTAGGGGCAGCTAGGTGAGGCAGTGGATAGAGCACTGACCCTGGATTCAGCAGGACCTGAATTCAAATCCAGCCTCAGACACATAATACTTACTAGCTGTGTGAGCCCGGGCAAGTCACTTAACCCCATTGCCTAGCCAAAAAAATAAATAAATAAAATGATAGAAGATGAAAAGTAGATTTTCCTCACAAAATGGTTAGGCTTCCCTGCCTCCATTCTAATATCAGTGAAAGGAAAAATGAATAATTTCCTTTGTAAAATTCATAACTTTACCTAAGTCCAGTTTAATTATAAAACAAAGAGTTAAAACAAGTATATTTTTTTTCCTACCTGGCCAGTCTGATAATGTTTTGCAAACTGGTTAACCACTCTATAATCACTGGCAAAGTACTCCATCAGGATAGAAGGAACTTCAGCAAAATCAGTGGGGCATCTCGTCCCTGAAACAAAATAACAATTGGCATAATTTAAGGTAACATATATTATTTTTATGAGAACTTCTAAAACTTTATTTGGACTTTTGATGAACTATAAGCTTTAATTCATTAAGTCAATATTCTACTTACATAAAATTATTGCACAAATTGGCAAAAAACTGTATTATAATCCTATGCATTTTACTTCAAATCAAAAAGTGAAAGAAAATGTTTGCACAGCTGGGTAAGGTACCTTATAAAAAAATTGCTCACACTCTCTAAAAGCAAACTTGTATGTACTCAAGCTGTCCATGTACTAAATATATCAAATTCAGATGCCATTACAATTAAAGCAAAAATTTTCACTTAAAATTCACAGGATTCCATTCTCAAACATGGTTTCTATTCCTTCTCTTGCTATAAATTCACACTGCCCCAACTTACTTTCTTTTTTAAAAAAGTCAATGCCCAGTAATAAAAGTATCAATGTAACTATATATTTCTTTAAAATAAGCAAATGTTAGAAGAATTTAATTTTAATTTAACACACCCTTGGTTTTTTGTTTTATTTTTGCCCTCAGTAAAAGTTCCTCTGCCTCCAGACTCATTCCAAGGCAAAGCCCACTTGCTTACAATCCACCACTGGTGGGGAACCACCACCCAGGGTCCATGAGATTGCAACCAGGGCTTGAAGCTGGGGCTGTAGAAGCTTGGCCAGCAATGGGACAAAAATCAACACAATCTTTAGAGTTTGGAGAGACTTTAGAGACCAGTTTATTTTACAAAGGAGGAAATGAAAGGGAAGGAATGTGATCAAGACCATCACTGCAAGCCTGAGCTTCCCCTTAAACCTCCCATTCACATCAATCCCAACTTCGAAAGTTAGAGAGAAGCCTAAGTGGCAGGCCATTTCCTCTGAGCCTAATTTTACTTTTGTTAACACACATTTGGGGAATTGAATTATAACCTATTATCATTCTTTAAGGTTTACCAGGCATTTTCTTCAAAATAGCTCCGAGAAGTAGGCAATTCAAGTATTATTGTCCCCATTTCACAGATAAAGGAAATGATGTACAAAGTGACTTTTCTGAGTAGCTTTTAAAGAAAACATTTATGCCCTCATCAGGCTCAAATGAGATAATTATGTAAAGCACTCTGAAAACTTTCAAGTGCAATATGTCAATTGAAGATATTAATTAAAAATTGTTGTTTCATTAGAAGGCAGGATGGCACAGTGCACAGCCAGGCGGGCTTTGAAATCAGGGAGATTCAGGTTCGAACTCTGCCTCTCTGAAGTATCTCAGGGAGCAATAGTGAGTCACCTGATTTCTCTACACCCCAGCAAACATCTTAAAGCTGCCAGAGGCACGTGATCAGCTGATCTGCATGGGGAATCACCCCACCCAAGAAATCACAAGCCCAGATCATACATCAGTGTGTGAGCACATGTCTGTGTGTATATAGATACACATCTACATCTAACCATAGAAAGGAAACTTAATAAATTCACTATAAATAAATATATGTGTGTGTATGTATATATCTTCTGGGTCTATCTAAATACACACAGATAAACACTTAAATACATATCAATTTGGAAATTCTCTTCAACAATGCAGATCAAAATCCTTCAATGCCTGCCAGTCCCACTTGTCTCTCATCCATATTGTCCCATACATTCACCACAGGCCTTCCTTACACACACACATACTCTACAACAAAAACTATAATAATAGTGAGGATGATGACTAGGCCCAGCACTATAGCACAGACACAGATCAGCAAGTCCTCTGTCTCTTCCAGCCACCGTCATGGAGCTAATATGTGTCAGAGGGACAATTTGAACCTTGGCTCTCCTAACTGTAAGGCTAGCCCTCTATATACATACCACTCTGCTTCTCATTACTGTTATTGTACTTGTTGATATAAATTTCTCTTAAAATTAAGAAATCTGCCTCAGTGACTTCTCAAATATCAAATGCATGCTTTTTACTATAATTCAAAATTCCATAACTTATAGAGAGGAACTTGTTAACATCTGATTACAGGCAAAACTGATTATAATCACAATTCATCACTAGCTAATCACATTCATGCTCCTTACCATACTTAGTAGTCCTATCTCTCTTCCACATACCCAATTCAAAAGAACTTTACTAGAACCAGTTACACACATTTATTCTCACTCAAATATGAATAAGAATATTTATATAAGCAAAGACCATTCAAAAGAATAATGCACCGTGAAAATGTTAGGTATTATCCATGAGTGAAGTACACGAGTGAAGTACATGAGTGAAGTAAAAGTCTTCATGGCTAGAGGAGAGAAACAAAAGAAAGTTAAGCAGAAAAATTTACAAAGCTGAGAGTAGAAATGGAAAAGTAAGAGAAAGGGTCAATGAAATGAACACAAAGGGCTATGAAATGAACATTTTTTTCCTAAAATAAGGGCTTTCCTTTTCAAATAAAATTGATGAAAATATAAAGTACTAAATAAAACTGTCCTCTTAGCATCTCACCTGTAACATGTTGATAACGAGTACGTCCCAGCATAGAATGCATGGCATGTCCCATTTCATGAAAAAGATTTTCCAGCATTCCAGGAGTTAATAAAGGTGGTGCAATACTTGTTGAATGAGGAAGGTTCAGCATGAGAACTACTACTGGAAGCTGATATTCCCCATTTTCCTTTAATCTTCCACCACGGATTGTAAAATGACAGTCCTTCATAAACAAGAAACAAGGCTAAGGTAAAATAAAAAGTCAAAAGGATTTATCAGCATAAAACTATACCAAAGGCAAGTGTTTAAAATCTCGTTTTTAACACAACTAGAATTTGACTCTTTATTTACTATACAGTTTTCATAAAAATTTTTAATCCTCTTAAATTCCTAATATTTAAAAGGAATGAGAAAGCATTGATGTATGCTAGCGAATATTTTTCTATCTATTCACAAACATATAAATGCCTACTCTGTGCCCAGCACTGTTGGTTAAAAATTAAAAAGGTAAATAAAACACAGCTCCTGCTTCCTAGAAAGTGAGAGAAGTAGAAACAAATATAAGCAGAAAAAAAAAACATTCAAAAAATGAATTTGTAAATATGTAAATTGCTAGAATGTTTTTTTTTTCCAAACAGAAAAACTGTTTAGAAGATGATTCAGTTAAAGCCACTATTAGCAGCTAGTATACTCCCTGAAACTCTGAATGGGAGAATTTTATTTTGGGGGAAATGTAAATATACCATGGAAAAATTAAGTATATCACATCACAAATTATTAGTCATTATCAAACCTATTTTGTTATGCCTATTCATTATACCTACAATCTATTAAGAAATTTTTAAAAATGGAATGCACATCTGTGAAACTTATTTTGTTGGGGCAGCTAGTGGCACAGTGGATAGAGTGCCAGGTGTGGAGTCAGGAAGACTCCTCTTCCTGAGTTCAGATCTGGCCTCAGACATTTACTAGCTATGCGACCCTGGGCAAGTCACTTATCCTGGTTAGTCTCAGTTTCCTCATCTGTAAAATGAGCTGGAGAAGGAAATGACAAACCACTCCAGGATCTTTGCCAAGAAAACCTTAAATGGTGTCATGAAAAGTTGGACATGACTGAACAACAACAAAGCGAATATTCTGCACAATGTAAGCATTCAATAAATGTTTGCTTGTTTTATTTTTTTTCTTATTTGGATATACTGGTCTCTAAATTAACATTAACCACACAAAGTGAGGATTCCCACAGTGGGGAAACAATATCAAGTACACTGTTGTTTGTCCTTTGTAATCAAAGACGACCAAAATGATATCACAATATTAGGGTCAATGTACAGTGTTTTCTGGCTGTGGCTGATCATACCAATATGAGCTTGGAAGGCTCTACAATAAGTAGGTTAAAATTGGTCCACAAGAACATTTGGAGTGAAGATGTCTCCACATTTGAGTATCTAGTGTTTCTTTTGAAACTCATAGAGCATAGCACCTTCTTTAAGGCAGGCACATCATGCTGGATGATCCTGTGCCAGTGTTTCCCATGTTTCATAATTAATTCCAAAGTTCATCAGAGAGACCTTGAGAGTATCCTTGCATCACTTCTTTTTTTTCTTTTTTATAAAAATTAATTTATTTTGATTTATCCACAATAACTTCCACAAGCTTTTGAGTTTTAAATGTTTCTCCCCCTCCCTCTTCAAGATGGCGCACAATCTGATATAGGCTGAACATATACATTCCTATGAAACATATTTTCACATTAGCGATGTTGTACGTAAGAATTAGAACCAATAGGAGGAACCACCAGAAAGAGGAAACAAAACACAACAGGAGAAAAAAAAATAGCAAATAGTATGCTTCAATCTGCATTCAAACTCCATAGTTCTTTCGTTGAATGTAGATAGCATTTTCCATCATGAGACTTTTGAAGATGTCTTAGATCCTTGTATTGCTAAGAAGGGTTAAGTCTATCAATATTAGTCATCACACAACGTGGCTGTTACTGTGTACAATGTTCTCCTGGTTCTGCTCATTTCACTCAGCATCAGACCACACAAGCCTTTCCAGGTTTTTCTGAAGTCTGCTTGCTCATCATTTCTTATAGCACAATAGTATTCCATTACATTCATATACCTAAACTTGTTCAGCCATTCCCCAATTCATGGGCATCCTCTCAATTTCGAATTCTTTGTCACCACAGAAAGAGCTGCTATAAATATTTTTGTACATGTGGGTCCTTTTCTTGTTTGTATGATCTCTTTGGGATACAGCCCTAGGAGTGCTATTGCTGGGTCAAAGGGTATGCACATTTTTATTGCCCTTTGGGCATAGTTCCAAATTATTCTGCAAAATGATTGGATCGTTTCACAACTCCACCAACAATGCATTAGTGTTCCAATTTTCCTACATCATCTCCAACATTTATCATTTTCCTGTTTTGTCATGTTGGCCAATCTGATAGGTGTGATGTGGGACCTCAGAGTTGTTTTGATTTGCATTTCTCTAATCAATAGTGATTTTGAGCATTTTTTCATACGACTATAGATGGCTTTAATTTCTTCATCTGAGAACTGTCTGTTCACATCCTTTGACCATTTATCAATTGGGGAATGGCTTGTAGTCTCATAAATTTGACTTAATTCTCTATGTATTTTAGAAATGAGGCCCTTATCAGAGAGATTGGTTGTAAAAATTCTTTCCCAATTTTCTACTTTCCTTCTAATCTAGGTTGCATTGGCTTTGTTTGTGCAAAAACTTTTCAATTTAATGTAATCAAAGTTATCCATTTTGCATTTTGTAATGTTCTCTATCTCCTGTTTGGTCATGAATTCTTCTGTTCTCCATAAATCTGATAGGTAAACTATTCCTTGCTCTCCCAGTATGTTTACAGTATCAGCCTTTATATGTAAATCCTGAACACATTTTGACTTTATTCTGATATATGGTGTGAGATTTTGGTCTATACCTAGTTTCTGCCATACTCTTTTCCAGTTTTCCCAGAAGTTTTTGTCAAAGAGTGAATTCTTATCCTAGAAGCTGAGGTCTTTGGGTTTATCAAATAGTAGATTACTATAGTCATTGACTACTGTGTCTTGCATACTTAACCTATTCCACTGATCTACCACTCTATTTCTTAGCCAGTACCAAACAGTTTTGCTGATTGCTGCTTTATAATACAATTTAAGTGTATCACTTCTTCTGACCACCATGTGAGTGCCTGCCTTGTGTGAGTTCTTCATAAAACAGTCTTTTGGGCAAACATACATTTGGTATTAGAACAACACAGCAAGCCCAGTGGAGTTGTACTGTCTGCAGTATAGTGCATGGCAGTTCAGCTCAAGAGAAGCCCTCAGTGTCTGGTAACTTATCTTGCCAGGTAATCTTCAGAATCTTTCTAAGACAATTCAAATGGAAGCAATTCGGTTTTCTGGCATGGTGCTGATATACCATCCAGGTTTCACAGGCATACAGCAATAAGGTCAGCACAAACTTCAGTTCAGTAGACAGTGTAATACCTCTTCTCTCCCACACTTTCCTTTGCAGGCTCTCAAACACTGAGCTAGTTCTGGCAATGTGTGTGACAACCTCATTATCAATATGTACATGGCTGGAAAGTATTCTGTCAAGGTAAGTGAACTTATCCACAACATTCAGAATTTCTAGATTTCCTATAACCAATGGCTCTATGTACGGATGGTGGGGTGCTGGTTGATGGAAAACCTCATTAGGCCAAAATGAGCACAAGCAGCAGAAAATCAATCTATGCTTTGTTGCATCTCAGTTTCAAAGGCTGCATTAACTGTACAATTGTCTGTGAACAGAAAATCAGGCGTCAACTCTTCCTCCACTTTAGTCTTGGCTTGTATGGAGCATTTTCACATTAAATAATTTACCATCAGTGCAGTAACTGACCTTGATGCTGTTTTCGTCCTCATCGAACGTACGTCACGAAAAACGCCATGTTAAAAAAAAGCATAGGAGCAAACACACCTACCTGCTTCACTACACTAGTGACTGGGAAAGCACAAGAGCACTGTCCAATGGACAATGACTAGGAATCCATGCAAGCGTGCCGTCATGGAACCATTAGGTAGCACACAGAAGATCTGGTTTCTAGCTCCAGTTCTACTACTAACGAGCCTCATGATCTTGTGTAACTCACTTAACTTCTATGAACTTCAATTTCCTCATCTGAAAAATGAGGACAGCAAAACAAAAAAATGTGCAGCAAAGTGGTGCAGTGATAGAGTACTGGGCCTAGAGTCAAGAACACTCATCTGCCTGAGTTCAAATGTGGCCTCAGACACTAGCTGTGTGACCCTGGGTAAGTCACTTAATCCTGTTTGCCTCGGTTTCCTCATCTGTAAAATGAGCTGGAGAAGGAAATGGCACACCACTCCAGTACTTTTGCCAAGAAAACCCCAAATGGAATCATGAGGAGTCAGATATGACTGAAATGACCGAACAACAACAATAAAAATATTTGCCCCATCTTCTTTACAAGGTGGCCATGAGGATCAAGTGAAATAATTAAAGAGCTATGAAAAGTATAAAGTGCTCTATGAATGAAGTTGACATTATCATTAACCTATCTGCTTGATATTCCACTTTTGTTCAGCAACAACTACTGAAGTAGCTGCCTGACTTTTGACTAAGTATGGTACTCTACCAAAAGGAACCAAGAAACATACTGATGGCCAAAAAAATTTTCAAATGGACATTTTTTTTACCATTTTTAACATTTCAATGAAATTTGGTACCTAGATAAAGGACACATAAGAAAATATTTAATTAAGTCCAGTTATTTTTAATCCTAATTTAAATCATCTATTTTAAAATTAACTTTATTTATGAATTATGTCTTTTAAAAATCATGATTTCATTAAGTGAGATTTATCTTTCATTGAGCTGCTAGCTTACTGCTGGTCAGTTCTTGGAGAATTAGTCCTCTAAATAGCATATTACCTGATGTGGTTTGTCTGCTCGCTGAAAGAAGTCACAATAGATGTATCCCAAAAGTCCCTCATTTTCATGAACCACAGCCTGAAAGAAGTTTCAAATATCACAATGAAGGAAGGAACCTAAAACTTCAAATGCTTCTTGTACCAAAACTAGGTAAGCATTAGAAATGCATAGCCACAAATAGAGGCCTTTGCTTCTATTGCTCTATAAACATACACACTTTTTTTGGCTTGGAGATTTGCAATATAAGATAAGAAAATTTGACATCCCACCAATTTGTGGTCATTTACAAACACTCTATTCTCTTTTATCTACTTACTCTTCACTAGGCATTGTAGAGGGGCTATGGTTCTGCAGTTTTTGAAGTGTTGTGGTACTATCAGCTCCTTTCAAATCTTAGGAGGTAGCTATAATTCCCCAAGTAAGATCTTAATAGTGCTGTTCAATGGTAAGCAACCATAGCTTCTGTCCTCCTTACACCACTGATGAGAATAATCTATCTTAACCCTGAATGGGAAAGGGAGGGGAGGAAGAGTAGAGAGAAAGCAAAGGGAGAGTAAAGGCTGACTCCATCCTGCCTTCTCTCTCCTTTGTGAAAGCCATCTTGTTTGCCCATTTTATTTTGAAACTAATCCTTCAAAATGGCACAAGAAATTTATTAGCTTCAGGAATATTCTGGTGACTACACAGATGGAGCACACTTCCTCCAAATTTCTCATTTTCTTCCCCACTTCCCACTCTTACCAAGTTAGGTAAAGTTAGCTAAACCATAAGAAAAAAAATACAGAATGAATATGAGTGCTACAAAAGTAGGTAAGGGGCAGCTAGGTGGCGCAGTGGATAGAGCTCTGGCCTTTAAGTCAGGAGGACAAGTTCAAATCCAGTCTCAGACACATGACACTTACTAGCTGTGTGACCCTGGGTAAGTCACTTAACCCTGATTGCCTCACCAAAAAGAAAAAAAAAGTAAAAAAAAAGTAGGTAAAAGAGATGTAATAGTAGGAAGTGAGCAGTTAAATACTAGAAAAAATATGGAGAGGTATATAAAAATGTTTATTTCAAGCAAGACAACTACCAGATAAGAAAGAAATATAGAAGTCACTAGAAAGTTGTTAATTTGAGACCTCCATTTCTTCATTTGTAAAATTAGGAGGTTGGACTAAATGGTCTCTGGGGCCACTTTCAGCTCTGGATCAACAATCTTGCACTCTCTGCCTCAGTGGGCACTATACAGTAGGTATGATTTACATGATTACAGAATGGTTTAAAAATCTTTTTTAAAAATCCAAAGAGAAGGGGCAGCTAGGTGGTGCAGTGGATAGAGCACCAGCCCTGAAGTCAAGAGGACCTGAGTTCAAATCTGGCCTCAGACCAAACACTTGTCACTAACTAGCTGTGTGACCCTGGGCAAGTCACTTAACCCCAATTGCGTAAAAAAAAAAAAAAATCCAAAGAGAAGAAAGGGAGACAGAAAGATGATTTGTAACAAGATATTTTAATGATTTCCTGAAAACTATGAAAGATTAAAAAGTAATAAAGAAACAGGAAGCAATAATGTAAATCCTCCTATATCTAGAATTTATAAGCATATTTTAATTTTTTCTTTTTCTTTGTTTAAAAAATGAATTAATTTTTTTCAGAGGGCTTTTTTTTGATGCTCTGCTTTAGGGCAATTTTAACCAGATCCTCACATTAAAGTTTGTGATCGAGGATCTGGAAATCAAAGACAAACAACCACTGAGTGAGGCTAAAGGGATAAAATAGCAACCAAGTGGAGAGCAGATGGCAAGGTGAGGGCAGGTGAAGGCACTGCAGCCACTGCTGCCAATTCAACTACCAACCTAGAGCTGCAATTAAAAACACTAAGCTTATACACTATGGGTAGCTTACCAGTTTTCGAACATCTTCACACCACACTTCTCCTTTTTCTGGCTGCTCCACATAGAGAGAGATTCCTAAGAGCTGACGGAATAGTAAGTTCAGACCTTCCATACATGCACCAAGTGAGAAAAATGGGCAATATAAACTGGGTTCAATATTATACCTGCAGGAAAAAAAGAGGTTCAAAAACAGTTCTGTCCAATTTTAGCACTCTTAGAATGTTATCTTATCAGCAGAGCGGCTAAAGGAAGTTAAAATATTATTGCACTCAAAAGATGACCATATTACAACCTCTGTTAAGAGATTATCACAGTTCAAATGTCTTCAAATGAAAGGCGCTAAATAAATCTAAATACATATTACTAATATATAATATAATCTCCCAAGGCTGGTTTCTTAGAAGACATTATTTTTCCACTGGCCTAGTAAATCATGCTACAAAACCGCATTACCACATAGCTGGTGAAGAGGAAAGATGGAAACTTTGGAAGATTATCTTAGATTTAATAATAGGAAACAAGACTATAACCCTAGGCTGTAGAAGAGCAAATTTCAAAATCTTCAAAGAAATTCTAAACACGATCCCATAGTCAAGAAGCACTGCGGTTTCACAGTAAGAGTGAATGACTTAACAAGTAAAAATATTTTGGTCTAAATTTCTATTCTAACACAAAGCTAGGTGACAATGGGCAAATTACCTAATGTCTCTGAGGCCTTTTCCCTCAGTTTCAAAGTAGGGATAATAATCCCTGAAGTACCTCTCTCATAGGATTGTCAGGAAGAAAGCACTCTGACAATTACATTATCAATAAATAAATGTAAGTTATTTTTATTAAAAGGAAAGATAGAACAGAAAACATCATTATAATAAATATAGCTAATTCTCTTCCGATTATAAATCAATCTATGATTTAATGTATATATGATTAAGAGAATTCCATAGTATCTACTTGACTAGTGAATTATTTTAAAATTCATTATGAATCTATTAGGTTTTATTTTTAAAAATTATAAAATCTATTAAGATGTGAAGAGGTGTCAGGGAAATGCACTACTGAACTGAAGGCCCTCAGTTCTACTAGTACCCTCAGTTTTTTCAAAATATCCTCTCAAAGAATCCTAATCCTAGGCCTCACTGCCTAGCTTCAGTATAAATGCCGAATCTGCTAATACATCTTAAATGTTAATAAGCATTCTGTTGAAGTTAATATGCTATACTCAGTTGAATGACTTCTAAGAAATCAATTCTTATGATTTTCTGAAACCCTATTTACAACTCCATCACCTTTATTTAGAACAACAAAAACAAAAACAAAAACCTGTTTACTCTTGCAGAGCTACCAAAAAGTTTTTTAAAGGTGAATTAGAGGATCTTTTTGCAGAAAACCTAGTAACTTCTGTAAAATTCTCCTTTTCAGCACCCCATGGCCACTTTCAGACTCTCCTTCTTTCTCCATCACGCAGTAAAAACTCCTTCTTTGAGATTCACTCAATATATATTTATCACCCAATCAAGATTTTGATAGCTGTTACCGACCATCCTCCACGACATTCTCCTTTTCTCCTGGAGTTCAATGCCTAACTCACAATCTTTCTTTCTTCCTCAATTCTTGTCTTGTATTAAGGGACTTCAGCATACATACTGATACTCTCTCAAACACCCTAACTTCCCAGTTCCTCAACTTAATCATTTCCCATCACCTGTTACTGTGCCTCACATCAGCTATACACAGAGACAATCATACATTTTTTATCTTTCCCTCACCTTGCAAGTGTTAAACATCCATGTTCGTGAACCCTAAAATTTCCTTATCTGATCACAATCTGTTGTCACCCCACATCTCTCTCTGCCTTGCAACCCCAAATCCGGTTCTTCATCCTAACCATGACCTCCAATCACTCCACTGACTGATGTGCTGGTAAATGTTTAACAACCAGTTATCTCTGTCTATGTATATAAATACATATAATACAAATATACATATTACATACATACATATAATGAAAAGAGAGAGAGAGAGAGTCATGACACACTTTTAAGTTTATCTAAATTATTAACATTTTCTCCATCACTTTCTCAAGGCCAGACAATCAATAAAAGAATAAATCAAGCCCTCAACTGTAGCATTTGCCCATTTCTGAGGTGTAAATCCTCACACCAAAAATTTAACAATGGGATGTTACAGGCCAGCTTTAGCTGACTCCAGCACAACTGTAACTCCAACATAGCCTCCCACTTCCCACTTCCCGGACCTACTCCCATGTTACATTCTCCTTTCCCCACTTAAACTCCATAGTGTCCTCTTCTCTCAAGTTCTTTGTCCCCTTAGAATCATGTCCTGCCAAGCCTTAGATTTAGATTACTCTCACCATCTGGTGCCTTTGTAGCTACTCATGAATTCTGAATGAATTAGGAGAAAGATCATGAAACTATGCTGACTGGATCCACTACAAAATCATGTTAGATAATCTCAACTGGATCCTCACAGAAGCAAGGTAATCCTTTCATATCTCCATAATCAATTCACTATCTCACTTTTCCCAACTTTTTCATTCTTCTTCAAGCCTCCCATGGTTTCCTCTTCCTCTATTCTCTTAGCTGAAAATGTTGCCTCATGTTTCACTGACAAAAAAAAAATGAGGCCATTTGCCAATAACTTTCTCGTATCTCATTCTCCTTCTCATCTCACATCACTCAGATGCATTATCACTATCTCCTCCTCAACCCCATCTCACATGAAGAGGTGGTCCTTCCCTTACCAAGGCAATTATAAGAACTGATTTCTTAGAAATCATGTCTTTCAAATGACTGTAACAGATTAACTTCAACAGAATGCATGTTCTATATAAACAATTCATTCTATTCCATTCCATATTCTCCAGCAGATTCTCCCCTGTCATTCTCACTCCTTCATTTACCTTCAGTCTCTTCCTGCCTACTGGTTGATTATCTATTGTCTACACAACTATGTTTCTCCTGTCCTCAAAAAACCTCCACCTGATCAGGTCATGCTGATGTGTCTTGGTAAGCCATCCTGCTAGTTATCATCCCCCATTCCTCCCCCCTGAGAAGGCCATGTACAAACTGCCTCCATTTCCCTTCCTCTCCTTCTCTTCTTAACTTTCTGCAGACCTCATCACTCAACTGAAATTACTCTTATCATAGTTATCAGTGACATTTTAATTGTTAAATTTAATGGCCTTTCCTCAATATTCAACTTCCTTGACCTCTCTGCCTCGTTTCACACTGTGGATCACCCTCTTCTTTTTGTTACTCTCTTCTTTCTGGGTTTTCAGGATGTTGCTCTCTCTTAGTTCTCCTCTTATGAATCCACTCTGTCTCAATGTGATTTACTGGATCTTCATCCAAAATCACATCTACTAACTTTTAGTGTCCTTCAAGTCTCTATCATAGGCCCTCTTTTTTCTTTATACCATTTTACTAGTAGTCTCATCAGCTTCCATGGATTCAATTATCATCCTGTATTCAAATGGTTCTCTGATCAATTTATTTAGCCGTAATCTCTTTCCTGAAGAATCTCAGAGAGCAGTTGCTCTTTGTACTTTTGAACTAGATAACACATATATATCTTCAACACAACATGTCCAAAACCTCTTCCTAACTTTTCAATTGGTGTGGTGGGCACCATCACCTTCCCAGTTACTTGGGCTCACAATCTAGAGGTAATCCTCAACCCCTCAATTTCAGTCAACACCCATATCCAGTTTGTTGCCAAGATCTGTTAATTCTACCTTCATAACATCACTTGTATATGCCTTCATCTGCTTGGGACACTGCCAACACCCTGGGGCAAGCTCTCATCACCTCATGCCTAGACAACAGTCACTTAAGTCACCTTCAGAGACCATCTAATACAACTCATAGCTGAAAAACAGTCTCTATCCCAACATATACAGCAAATAGTCACCCAATTTTGCCTGAAGATTTCTAAAGGGGGAAACTCACTACCTTCTAGTCAATTTTCTCCACTTTTGAATAGCTCTAATTGTTAGGAAGTTTCTTTTAAGGTGTAAAGCTAAAATGGGCCTCTTGCAACTTTTCCCCACAGTTCTGTCCCTACCATCAAATAGAATAATTCTAATCCCTCTTATGGATGACAGCCATTTAAATCCTTAAAGACAACTATCATGTCCTCCAACCAAGGTTAAACAATCGTACGAGGCATAGGTTTAAGACTACAAAATTCACTTTGCTCTTTTCTAGATAGTTTCTAGCATATCAATCTCCTAGGCAGCTAAGTGACACAGTAGACAGAATAAAGGGTCTGGAGTCATGAAGATATGCCTCAGTTTCCTCAACTGTAAAATGGGGCTAATTGAGATATTTGTAAAGGGCTTAGCAAAGTAACTAGCACACAGTAGCTGCTTAATAATGCTTATTTCCTTTCCTTCCTTCTACAATGCCATCTTTCCTTTCTAAAATATGGTTCTCAGAACTGAAAACAATTTTCCAGAAGAGCTCTGAGAGCAGAGCACAGTAGAACTAAAATGGTGTCTCGCCATGCTTCCCCCATATTTTACATAGATCTAGAGCTGAAAGAGAATTGAAGGTCGCTAGCCTAATCCATTTATTTTAAAGATGAAGAAATATCAAATGCTTATTTGTTGCCCAAAGGGCTACAACACTGCGCATACTCTTTGATCCTACAATACCACTACTAGGACTATATCCTAAAGAAATCATAAAAAAGGGAAAAGGACCCACATGTACAAAAATATTTACAGCAGCTCTTTCTGTGGTAGCAAAGAACTGGAAACTGAGGGAAGCCCATCAATTGGAGAATGGCTGAACAAATTGTGGAATATGAATGCAATAGAATACTATTGTTCTATAAGAAATGATGAGCAAGCAGATTTCAGAAAAACCTGGAAAGACTTGCATGAACTGATGCTGAGTGAAGTGAGCAGAACCAGGAAAACACTGTACACAGTAACAACAATATTGTGCGATGATCAACTATGAATGACTTAGCTCTTCTCAGCAATACAATAATCCAAGACAATTCCAAAAGACTTGTGATAAAAAATACTAACTGCATCCAGAGAAATAACTATGGAATCTGAATGCAGAGCGAAGCATATTATTTTCACTTCTGTTTTTTGTTTTTTCTTTCTTGCAATTTTTCCCTTTTGTTCAGATTC